TAACTTATCTCTCTTAAACTCGATTATAAACTATCGTAACTACCATGTTTTTTTCACAAGAATATGTTCACTGTGACAAAACTGATACTAAAAAGAGACTTTTCTTGAACATTGAAGAATGTTTTTAGAAAATTTATATCCTAATTTAAATTTAGGTTTGAAAAAAGATATGGACTAGAGATAATCTTAGCATTTCTGCCTCTCCACGAAAACAAAATCTACACCATCAATATAGGGTTGGTAGTAAACCACCTCCACATCCTGCAGAGTTGCACATTGTCACAAACTTGAAATGTTTAATGGTTAATGATATCATAATACAGTAGGAAGTTAGTAGCAATTTTACTTATCCATAATCTAGAATTTTAATGTCATCTTATCATTACAATAACCTAAGCTTTTCCAACAAATTATTTACTATACACGAATGGAAATCACACCTATATCGATATAAGTATTCAGACAACCTTCTATCACTTTTTATCAGTATACAAGCAAAACAAATGATATAACTTCCCCAATACACACCCTTAGCTTTTCTCCTCAGGATTCATGTTTTGTTTTTATCTTAGTTCGAGTTCGACAATTAGTCTTAGTAGCAAGAAGCAACGACTTTCACGCTTCTTGGAACTATTAAGGTATGATATTTCGTTTTGTAGTTGGATAGAAAAGTTGACACTTTTTTCAAGATTTAATTTGTGCGAGATGCTCTTTTGCGCCATTTTTTCTTTTGTTCTGTTCCTATAGTTACTTTTTCCACGCTCTCTTTTATCCCACCAAAGATCCCCCTTATGTAATAGGGGTTAAGGGGGGTGCACACCATGGTAAAATCTGCGTGAAAAATTGAAGGGTTTTATTATTCTAAAGTATTTTGCTCCCGCATCCCTTCTCTCTTAAAGGCTCTGCACGTCCCCGCATTCTGATTGATCCTGTAATGTTGTAATCATGTTGTTCTTTTATACCCCGCTATACAACTACAGGAGACTTAGAAGTATTTGGAGTCTTTTGAGGTACTAATTGATGTTCTGCAGGATTACCGTGGTTGATGAATTTTTTTTTAGCAAAGGTCCAAGAACTGAAATGACATTTTTTGTGGTTATTGGACATAATTGTTGCCATTTTTTCACACCTCATTTTTTAGCATATGATTATGAGCTGCACAAGGCTTAAAGTTGGAATTTGAACATTGAATGCAGAAGATTTTCTAATTTATTTTCAGTGGACTATTTTCTTCTGCGAGTCCTTTGTCATCCTTAGGTTATTTAGTGAATCGGTTTCAGTCTTTATGAAGGTAAGGTCTTGCATTGAGGCACTGTCAAAGCCGACTTTTGGGAGATAAGATCATCTATTACTTATCTTTGAAATTCTACTATCGAATAAAGTCTTGTGTACTGAATAAGATATTATTCTATTGTTTCTATCGTAATATCCCACATGAGGTCATTAATAATTGCTTCCAGCTGCAAAGGATAAGAACTATTTCCTAGGATGGTCTTAACCTACTGACCTTCAAGCATGTTGAAGGATGAGGTGAGTAGATAATCAGTCTCCCTCTATACAACTGCCCAAGTTTTTCATCAAACCCACCCAAACACCCACACAAACGGTGGGCATGTTAGGATATGGCATTGTTGGAATAGATGTCTAAACATTATCAAATAATAAACTTCCAACTCTCTTTCCACATCTTATTTGCACAAGCGATACTTCCTGAGTTTATACTTAATAAAACGAGAGTAAAATTATTTTATATTTGATGGGCCCGAGCCAGATCATAGATGTAGATAAGGCCTATGTCACAGATACAGACCAATAAAAGCTCATCACAATTTCAATTGGACCAAACGCACCATTTTGAAAGACCAATTTATTACTAGTGCACATTGAGATCTCCATCTTTGGAATGGAGTCTGTAGAATACAATTATCAGGATGCACATCGTCAATTTCACATAATCATCTCGCCCGTACAAGAATAACACATTCTCGTAGAACTATCCCGCTCCCTGTGATGAAGCTTCAATCAAGGCTCCCTCGAAGATAATTGTGAAACTTTACTTGCCTATAAATCGTAAATCCCGCCTACACATAGAAGGCATCACTCATCTCTCAACACTCTACGCGCTTTAAGTAATAAAACTCTCTTGCCACTATAATCATTTCTTGTTGAATAGGTCATTCAGGCCGAACCACTTGACCTATGTGTTTGATTGTGTTGAGCATATCCATCACTTACTTCATTACATACTNTTGAATAGGTCATTCAGGCCGAACCACTTGACCTATGTGTTTGATTGTGTTGAGCACCATCACTTACTTCATTACATTATTAATTGATTTTACATAAATACTTTTGTGCTCATCACCATTCATGTACTCCATAACTTGCTATACAAAAACAAGTATACATTTGCATCTCACAAGTGTAATAAAATCATATATTTGCAGGAGTATGTACCCATCATCTATTTATTGCTTCATTACAAAAAGATAATAGACCTTATCCAACTGCAATTTATTGCTTCAAATTCAAGCTTTAGCTTACTCATTCACAACTTCTCTGGAAGCATGTACACAATTGCAAACTAACAGGAGGAAAATTTCTCTCTCCAGCAAGCAGAGCAAAGCTAAACTACCAGTTGTATGTACATCAATCAATAACTCCAAATTGTCTTAGTCTAACACTGCACACTCTATCGGGCAGCACTTACTAGCACTATATGTGCATTTGTTATTTAAACAAGAACACTAACAGTATCTCTGCTTTTGTCGAAAACGAATTTTTCTTGCCACAGTCTTCGTTATTGAAAACCATCTCAGTACCCCAAACAACATTGTCCATCGCTTCTTAGCTTTATCTATGGCAAAAGCTGTAGAACGAGCCAAAATAAAGTCATTAACAACACATTGTAGATCAGAATGTGGTTCGAGACTCGCATTCTGAAGGGAAAAGTCAGAATCAAAATACTGAAGCTGCTCATCCTCACAGAAGTCTTGTGGGATGGAGTCAGTGCCAATGATCAAAGGGTTCGCCACTTGGCTTGGAAAACTCAAAGGTTGGTCGAACATAACATCCATGGAGTCAATGCTTTGCAACCCATAATCATCCAAGCTAACACCCCCAATGGAATAGATGGATGGCATGATGTCTGGGGAAGAGGCACTTAGCTGCATACAATCAGATTTGCCCACTTTTTCGGATGCCAAATCCTTATTGCCATCAGAACTCCCTGTGATGGCTGAATTTGAGGGGTAAAGACCATTGGACATGGGCAAAAGGCCATCCGTAAGAGAGGCCTCATCATCAAAAGAGACTACATCCTCGAAGTTTCTAAACGCAGAAATTACCGAGTTGTGGGCGTCAGCCTGAAAACAATGCTAGTTATACGGAAGTTAGGGATTATTTTCTTCTAAAAAAAACAAAGAAAAGAGCAGAAGTGAAAGGAACAAAAAGTAACAGCAAAAAAGAAACATAACAATTTTGCGACAGGGGAACATGCCTTTTCCGTTTCAGATAGCTTATCAGTGGCAATATATTGGCAATCTGAAAGAATTCCCATCAACTGCCCCACAGCATTGAAAACTACACCAGCCTTGTGTTGAGATCCAGAAGGACAGTACAAGTAGCACCTCTTATCAATTTCGCATGTCCGAGCATGGTCCACTGCAACTTCCCACATTTTAGCAGACATACCTGTCCCAAGGATCTGCAGAAGTTCCAAGAAACGAATTGTTACCGACTTGTACTCTAAAATAGTTATTGAGAAATTCAAAGAAGAAAACTGTTACTGCTAAAACATGAAAGGAAGGCTAATGAGCACCAAAGTTATAGGTCAAAGAAACATTTATGTCCTGTATAAACAGTGGCCGGAATTTATTTATTTTAATCCTCTAATTTCAACCCTCAACCCACCCCTCCTCCCTTCAACACGGAAGAGGCTCCTTGTAATCTAAACACTGTGGCCAAGGATAAGGACATGGGTACAAGGAGTCCAACACAGCAACCTTAAATCCTTAAATATAGGTTGTCCAGATACACGTTTTAGCATGAACAAAGTTTAAAGTCATCTGATTCACACAGATTGTAAGGCAGTTATGCAAAATGTCCTAGTCTCGGAATGCAAATATGAAATACTTCTTTTGGAGTTGGATATCATTCTAAGCAAAAAATAGCAATATTGCCTTTTCCATGTCATTCACAAAGAGGAGTTAGTTATTTGTGTCAGAAAATAGCCCTTCTCAAACCACAGCCTGCTTCACACATACATGCATTATCATCACTTCAATATATAGAATCTCTATATATCAATGTGGCTCGCTAGTTTCCTTTCATTTCAAATATAGAAACATTAATGTCATGACATAACAAAAGGTCACTACATCATCATTCTATGAAATTCTTGTTACAAATTCTACCCTTGAAGCCTTTTCCAAACAGAATTGTTTACAAGATGATGGTGCCTTGTAGGCTCGAATGTTACTGATCTACGTGGCAAAAATACAAGGAGCAGTAAATTCTTACATTTCGAAGCCTTGTAGGGTCTAGGAACAGTAAAGTCAAAAAATCCTTCACTGTGTAGACTTTTTCTTTACTCAACCGCTTGTGAAAAGCTCCATCTTTGCCAATTTTTTCTAGCCGCCATACTTCATCCAGAAGAGATGGGGGGTNCGTTTCAGATAGCTTATCAGTGGCAATATATTGGCAATCTGAAAGAATTCCCATCAACTGCCCCACAGCATTGAAAACTACACCAGCCTTGTGTTGAGATCCAGAAGGACAGTACAAGTAGCACCTCTTATCAATTTCGCATGTCCGAGCATGGTCCACTGCAACTTCCCACATTTTAGCAGACATACCTGTCCCAAGGATCTGCAGAAGTTCCAAGAAACGAATTGTTACCGACTTGTACTCTAAAATAGTTATTGAGAAATTCAAAGAAGAAAACTGTTACTGCTAAAACATGAAAGGAAGGCTAATGAGCACCAAAGTTATAGGTCAAAGAAACATTTATGTCCTGTATAAACAGTGGCCGGAATTTATTTATTTTAATCCTCTAATTTCAACCCTCAACCCACCCCTCCTCCCTTCAACACGGAAGAGGCTCCTTGTAATCTAAACACTGTGGCCAAGGATAAGGACATGGGTACAAGGAGTCCAACACAGCAACCTTAAATCCTTAAATATAGGTTGTCCAGATACACGTTTTAGCATGAACAAAGTGTCAAGTCATCTGATTCACACAGATTGTAAGGCAGTTATGCAAAATGTCCTAGTCTCGGAATGCAAATATGAAATACTTCTTTTGGAGTTGGATATCATTCTAAGCAAAAAATAGCAATATTGCCTTTTCCATGTCATTCACAAAGAGGAGTTAGTTATTTGTGTCAGAAAATAGCCCTTCTCAAACCACAGCCTGCTTCACACATACATGCATTATCATCACTTCAATATATAGAATCTCTATATATCAATGTGGCTCGCTAGTTTCCTTTCATTTCAAATATAGAAACATTAATGTCATGACATAACAAAAGGTCACTACATCATCATTCTATGAAATTCTTGTTACAAATTCTACCCTTGAAGCCTTTTCCAAACAGAATTGTTTACAAGATGATGGTGCCTTGTAGGCTCGAATGTTACTGATCTACGTGGCAAAAATACAAGGAGCAGTAAATTCTTACATTTCGAAGCCTTGTAGGGTCTAGGAACAGTAAAGTCAAAAAATCCTTCACTGTGTAGACTTTTTCTTTACTCAACCGCTTGTGAAAAGCTCCATCTTTGCCAATTTTTTCTAGCCGCCATACTTCATCCAGAAGAGATGGGGGGTGGTGCTTCTTGTACACTGCAAAAAAATTTGCAGTAAATAAATGTGAAATCTACAACAATCATACTGTCATGATAAATTGTTCAAAATCTCTGGGATACCACTTTATCTTTACTTTCCCTCGTTTAGTTTCACGAACTAGTTACATGATTACGTAAGACAAGAATAAGACGTCAGAATGAGATCAATGTGTAACACAGAAAAACCAGGAAAAAAAGAGAGCATATGAATTCAATTGTACAATATACTAGAATATAAGTGGGGAAGGGAAAATAATGACTAAGAACAAAATGGACGTCTATTCTTCTTTCCACCGAAATGTATAAAAGTCACCAACATTCAACCAATACTTGATATGTCGGGCAAAAATACAGTGAATCACCTTTCTTAACACCACATCATACTCTGGGTCACTACCATGGTTCTAATGTTTGATTAACAGCTACCCTATATCCCACAATATACCTTCGGCGTGTGTGTTTTTCGTTTGCATATTTCATTTGCACAGAGTATCGTACAGATCCAGATTTACAATATTAAGAATGTCAAAATTGCTAAAAGTAAACACAGCAAGAGAACATAATTAACAATTTAATTACTCACATTCTCCACGATGATCCCTGACAATGAAGGATTCAGTCTTTGCTTCTCTTACTCTGATTCCATCAAATTTTTCTACAACTCTTGCTCCCAGCCTGAATTTACGACTCCTTGTCCAGCTGGAATTATCTGTGAAAGAAATCTCACCCACCAAACCAATGCCCTCTTTAAGATTCAAAAGAGCATCCCCACTAAGAAGGGGTTTCTTCCCTTCCCTTTCTCTAACGATATTATTCTTAAACTCTTCAAGTGACCAGTTGTCTCCTTCGTCACCATCAAAATCTCCCTCAAGTACTACTATTTCCACCTTTGCTGCGGCTTCAGGCCCACTGGAAACAAATTCCCCAGAAAGAGCATCAATTAAAGCTACTTTTAAAGTGGTACATTCTTCTCCTTCAATACGAGTTCCAGTAAATACTGGGAGACAGATGGCGTCTAAGAACTGTAATTGTAAGCTTCTTGATTCAGAAGGGTGCATCTCTTTCCCACANAGTGGTACATTCTTCTCCTTCAATACGAGTTCCAGTAAATACTGGGAGACAGATGGTGTCTAAGAACTGTAATTGTAAGCTTCTTGATTCAGAAGGGTGCATCTCTTTCCCGTAATTCCTAAACAAGGCATATGAGGATGTATCAAGCACACAATAGCCACAACAGAAGGTCACCACTGACCAAATTACCTTAACGGTAAATTCATATCTTCATCAGAGTAGTGTCAAATGGCTTACCACTTCATGCTGGACAAATATTTTCTCAAAGCCAGCTCAACTTCTTCTTTTACCTATAAACCCAAATTCACATCTAGAGCTTATTATACTTGCAGTATGGAAGAGTCTACAGAATTAGAAACCTCTACAGATTGAAGAAAAAACAACATTATTACAATGTAACAATTAAACCGATTGAAGTATATCTAAATCACTAGACGCTGGTAAAGCAATATAACAGAAACCAAGATGTTAGACCCAAAATAGTGAACAAGTAAAGGAAAGCTTGAAGAATGACTATCAGCACCACATCCAGGGTATCCCATTTTTTCCATCTTGTTCTTGATATTTTGCAAAGTAACACAACAGAAACCATGATGTTACACCAAAAATAGTGAACAAGTAAATTGGGTGTGTTTTTTTGTGTATAACCATGAAACACAAAAAGAGAACATACATGCACGCTCCAATATATAAATCTAAATGGTATCACATCAAGAACTAGAACATGCAAGGCGTATTAATTTGGTGCAGACTAATCAGGAAAAATATAATTTAGCAAATCATTTGCCAGACCAGGCAACTTAGCGGGGCCTGTACAAGGAGTAGAATTATCTATTCACTTAACTAAATTTCATCTTATATCCATTCTGACATTCCAAGACTTGAAATCATTCTAATGTTATGTCACTCCCCTACAGCATTTGAAGCACAAAGGCATTATTTTTATGAATTTTACAGCATACCCAAGAACGAAATATGGGGAGGTAGAGGGATGGGTTGGGGGAGGGAGTGAGGGAGGTAGAAATACAGTCCACACAAAAAGTGATAGTAACATATGTCATTTTTCCACCACTTCGATCGTATTTGAATCTTCTCAAATGAATGAGATTCTGATAGCAGATTTTCAGCTTGTCACATAAAGGATAGGCAAGACATCAAGTTCAGCTGATTTGTAAAGAAAAGTCCAAAAATGACACTTAATGAAGATCTCATATGTGTTCAATTCAAGGGGAATTTTACTACCCATGCCCAGCCATTCACACCATAAAGATTTTTTATGAAAGTCGGTCTCTAAATAGGTAGTTACCTAATTATCAAACTTTAAAACAATGGGCAAGTAGAATGCCCCAATATCCAAAGATGACATTTAACGCAAAAAATGACTCGTCCCCCGTCCCCCCCATCCAAAAAAAAAAAAAAAACCCCACCCAATGGTATACTTGAAGTTGGGATAGTTGCAGAAAGGTCATTAAGCAGCTATCTAGTTTACATCATCCTGTCTATACCACCACCATAACAAAAAACATACAAACAGAACCAAGAATTTCACTTCTTGAACACTTTCGCAATTTTTAAAACATCCACTTGGCTCTCGATTCATATGATGAATTAAATCAGTTGATTATTGTTTGTTTCTCAACTAAGACTGAGCAATAAAACTAAATTTTGTAGCATCCCATACCAGGTGCTTATTAAAAACCACAGAGAAAATAGAAAAGGGAACACAAAAAAATACATAGGCAGACAATAAGCAAAGACCTCTTTTGTAGTGCCCCTTGTTATTGCATCCATGTTAGCTGCCACATTNGGAACACAAAAAAATACATAGGCAGACAATAAGCAAAGACCTCTTTTGTAGTGCCCTTGTTATTGCATCCATGTTAGCTGCCACATTTTTTTTTTTAACGAGAAACCATTACTATATTCATAATAATACAAAAAAGTACATCAAAAGAAACAATGTTGGACAAGAAGTCCAACCTTCAAGTGACAAGATACAAAACTAAAATCAAAGGATAACTCATGTGTGAGGTCCAATATACTATAAATCACAAACTGCCTGCAATCCCGTCAAAATACAAAAAAATGGAATTCCTTCAAAGTTTTTAGTGATTGAGGCCCATAACGAGGCCAAGAAAAAAATACGGTTCAGTAGACCATCAACACTCTCCCATCTATCTTCAAAGATCCGAGCATTCCTCTACAAGAAATTTGTTGCTGCAACATGTGTCACTAACTTGGTGCTACAAATTTCTAAAATCAAAAGATTGTGTCACCTAGTAATTTTCATCCATCAGGACGATGTCTAATTATGTGTTTCATCTTGACCACCCATCTTATTCTTGTCTAATCTCTAATACGAAAAATAGGCATCATTAACAATTTCATTTTAAACTAAATGGATGGGCTCCCCAAACCCAACAATCTTTCAAAGAATGGTCCATCCAGGCGATTCACGATTATTTAGCATGCAGGAGCACGGAAGACATCTTTTTCTATGCAAAGTGCTAAAAATAGGTGTTACTTAACATAAGGTCTATGTCGTAATGGGTTTGGGGGGTGCTAAACCTGTTGCTCTTTGCTTTTGAGTGGAGAATTTGAAAGAAGCCGATAACTAGTAAGACTATAAATCAGGATCCCAAGATCAAAACTGGGTATACAGACCCAATCAAGTCTTGGTTGCCTCAACTGGTCATGTTGAATCAGGATCTGAATCTTGGCTACTCCGTCAGGATTTTGATAGATTTAGTCACCAAAACGGACCGAACTCTTTCCAACTATAAATAGGAAAGACTACAAACAATAAGAAAGGCTAAGAGAAGGAGCGTACACACTTTAGAAAGTTAAACCCTAGCCATCCAAATGAACGCAACAAACCCACTCGGGAATATAGTTAAAACTTTGAGAGATCGAAAACCCAAATAGTGAGTTCATTGTGTGAACACCACGGTAGATAACATAAACTTACAATGATTGTTGGATTGCTACAGAGGGTTTTGAGGGCGGAGTCCAAGGAGGTGCGACGTGATCCCTTAGGCGGGAGAATTAATGGTATAATTCGAGTGGTTAGCGGATTGTGAAGTGCAATTTGTGTCAGATAGTATTCGNCGGTAGATAACATAAACTTACAATGATTGTTGGATTGCTACAGAGGGTTTTGAGGGCGGAGTCCAAGGAGGTGCGACGTGATCCCTTAGGCGGAAGAATTAATGGTATAATTCGAGTGGTTAGCGGATTGTGAAGTGCAATTTGTGTCAGATAGTATTCGAACCAGNGGCGGTAAAATGCTCTTGGAAGACCTACATCCCGGTAATGGGAGGAGTCTTCACAATTCGAACCTGTTGTGGAATCAAAAGTAGGTTCAAGACAAGAGGAACATCGGTGCATGGAGTCCGAAAATGTTACAAGTCTTTTGAACAAGTCGAGTCACATCTAGTGAATTTAGGGCTGGACGAGATCATTTTCTTTCCTTTTCCGGTTTACTAAACAATCATTTGCCTCTTTTCTTGTGTGATTGCTTTAAATATTTGCATGCCATTGAAAAATGACTACACCATGTGATTGATTGCATAAGAGAATAAATGGGCTCACTTTCATGTGCATCCATGAATATTGGTCTAAATAATTTTATTCAGCTGATAAACGAGCTATAATTTGAAAATACCTATTCACACGTCCTCTAGGTCCATCTACAATTTCATGGATATCGATCCTAAGCCCCTCATCCATGAATATTGCTTCGAAAAATATTTGATCCTAGTTAGCCAGTGCTAGTTACAAAATTATATTTGAGATTTGGTTACAACTCATATACCTATCCACAAATGGTGGGAGATCCAATTTTCCCCAAAATCTCCATTCAATCTTCTCAGCTACCTTTGATTACCTTAAATCAATTACCCATACATCACCTAAAGGCTTGCCAAATTATATTGATAATATTTTGACACGTGATTGGTGATTTATGCTCACAAAAGTAGTGAAAAAATAGTTGGTGAAATGTTCTACCAAATTCGAAGAACATGCTCCTATGTGCCCAATCGAATCAAGTAAGTCTTAAGTAAACAACACAACATGACTCTTTAAGAAACTGGATAAGTTAAGCCACAAAATATCAAATCACAGTTAAAACTTGTTTCTAAGGTATGAACTTACAACTCTACGAATCAAGGGCTCCAAAACTGGCTCAATAATAGGCTGGACTTTACGCAAGCTCATCACCTCCAGCACAACACTACAATGCATCAACAAAAGAGTTAGTAACAAAAAAAAAAAAAAAAAACCACATCATTCCAGTCATCTGAGCCTACACTGCTACTTATTTTTACTTTTTTCACATCTCTCTATAGCAAGCATTTATGGTGCAATATCACCAAAAAAAAAAATTGTTCTCCAACAACTAAAACCGAACAACTCCTATCAAGGATACAAGCACAAGGCAATCAATTNCATTCCAGTCATCTGAGCCTACACTGCTACTTATTTTTACTTTTTTCACATCTCTCTATAGCAAGCATTTATGGTGCAATATCACCAAAAAAAAAAAATTGTTCTTCAACAACTAAAACCGAACAACTCCTATCAAGGATACAAGCACAAGGCAATCAATTTCAGAAAATTTGCCAAGGATACAGCATTACACTCAAACAACCAATAGTACAACAATATAGAGCACAAGTTATTCACAACAAACCGAATTCATCAGGCAAAATTAAAAGTGCATCCACTTCATGACCATTCTCCCATATGAACTCAAAGAGCCCATGTTACAATCCCAAATCGATTAAGCATGACCTTAATTAAGTGTCTATGACTTCTTTGACATCCTTCCGTAGGAAATCGGTGTTAAAGGATAACTCCAATCATAACAGATCACATCACCAGTTCGAGTGGTACAACCTATATGCTAGACTGTATTTTAAAATACCTTGGTATTATACATGGGCACCAGATTGAGTCATTGAATACAAATCGGTAAGAGGAGCATCCAAAGAGAAAGGGTTGTCATGGGATCAGTGTGTTGGAATTGCTCCAATGTTACTCTCGTTAAAAAATTGCTCTAATACCACTATGTTGGTATTATTCTTGTGCCTTTGATACCATTTTTTTGTAATGAAGAGGGTAGAAATACAATTGAAGTAGAGAAGGAGATTGAACACTCAAACTAAAATGACTTTCATTTAAGTAGATTATAATCACCTTCACACTCAATTTGGACTCTTCACTCATACTCAACTCTAGTTACCTCTACCAGTAGGCCACATAACCTATTTATACAGTTCTAAAATATTAAGACACCAATTTTCCCCGCTACTTGTGGAATTAATACAATACTCGTATCTTTGTAGTCCACTACGTGGATGTTGATGACCGAATAACACAAATCACTCACCCACTACATCCAAAATAAATATTACATTAGCCCACGAACACAAGTTATTAACACACCACAACAATTTAATAAAACTCTAAAAACAAGTTTATTTTCCAACAGTGTCATAGAGTGAGTCGCTATGTATGACGGTTATGGAAGCATGGTGGAGTACTACGACCCCAGTTTTTATGTATGTATATGAACTGTAGGGCATAATGATACAAGCTGGTTTTCAACGTTCACAACATCCCATTTTTTAACTTGTACCGGAAACAAAAACATCCATGTCAAAATCCTCTATATCAAGCCCAATGCAATTGAATTAATCACCAATTTTAACATGAAATCATGCTAAGATCAGTTCATAGTCAACAAAATCCACATATGCATACACAGGTAAATAAAAGTGGCCGAATATAAACTAAATTCTACATAGAAAAATAGAGACTCACCTTCTGAAAGAAGGAACTTTTCGCCGCTTTTCTTCGGAAGGGTTGCCTTCTGATCGAGCCTTGAAAAACCCATCCTCCTGCTGTCTCTTCTGCGACATTATCGATGTCTATGCCCACACCAAACAACGATACTAAGTGGGTATGGCGCTGCGATGAAATTGAAAAGAGGGAGGGGAAAATCATGAAGTGGGTGATGAAGGGACAAAGAGACCAACATGCGTTGTCCGATGAATGAAAGAGGAATATATATATACAGCAATAATATATATGAGTACAAAACCAAGACCAATAAATGAGTAAGCTCCAAAACAAAAAAAGTTATGTCCAATTCCCATCAACCCATCTCAGAATTTGGCTGCCTCTGCAACACTGTTGCTTCAGAGCAGTAGAGGCTTGTTTCGGAGCTTTTAGAGAGAAAAATTGTAGGGAAAAGCGAGGAGGGTAAGGTTTCTTTCTGAAACTCAGAACGGGAAGAGAAGTATTGGATTCCCTCTACTCTACGTGTGAACAGTGTGTGTGTGTGTGTGTTTGTATGAGAGAGAGAGAGAGAGAGAGAGACAGACCTGGGACCGTAAAAGCGCGTTAGGCTAGAGAGATAGTTGGGGTCCACAACCGAAAATGCATCAACGCGGATAACTGATAGCGCCTCCTTCCCTGCTATCTTTGGCGTGTGCATTGACGCCTCTGTACTGTGAGATTTATTATTATTATTATTTTGGGTTTTTTGAATTGTTACTTTGTTTGATTTTCAAGGTTTTTGTTTTTGAATCTTATAAAAAAAATAAAGGGTTGGAATCTTGTGGTAAAGAAAGTTTATATATTAAAAAAAATGATTAATTTCGCTTTACACCTCAAAAGATATATTTCATTCTCACTTTGCACCATCAAACTTTACCAATCTCAACTTTCACCCTCAATTTTATGAAGGAGTTGTAATATGGATCTGATCCAGATTGTCGTTCAATTTTTCTTCATAAATTAAAGCACGTTAATTACAAATATTTTGAACATGGGCTTATGTGTAAATTCACATACTATTAGCATTTCATGTGAGCTGCACATGATAGAGTTAGTCTCTATCTCATTAATGAAATCTTATTTTCAATACAAAAAATAGTGTTAAATTAAACGTAGACAAAGATCTACAGCAATGGGTATACGTCATCTTCATGTATGAAGCACTTGTACTTCACTTATTTCAATTTATGACAAAAATTGAACTACAATCTAGATATGTTCTACATTACTAGCAATTCATAACATTTAGGGTATAAATTATAATTTTTTCTTTTCTCCTATTGTCGGTTTCATATTATACACTTCTTAGTTTTTAAATTGTACCTCAATTATAAATTGAGATCCCAAATGACATCCCAAATTAGTAGGAACCATTAGGTTATGGCTTTGTTTAACCCTTTTTAAGAGGATCCACTCATCCAATGTCCCTACTAATTTGAGATACAAAGCATTTTTCTTCTCATATTGTACCTCCAATTATGATTCTTGGTTTCATATTAGTCCCCAAATTATTAATTTTTATTTTATATCACCAATTATAATTATTAACTTCAAATTGTCCAAATAGTTAACACTAGAAATNGAGAGAGAGAGAGAGAGACCTGGGACCGTAAAAGCGCGTTAGGCTAGAGAGATAGTTGGGGTCCACAACCGAAAATGCATCAACGCGGATAACTGATAGCACCTCCTTCCCTGCTATCTTTGGCGTGTGCATTGACGCCTCTGTACTGTGAGATTTATTATTATTATTATTTTGGGTTTTTTGAATTGTTACTTTGTTTGATTTTCAAGGTTTTTGTTTTTGAATCTTATAAAAAAAATAAAGGGTTGGAATCTTGTGGTAAAGAAAGTTTATATATTAAAAAAAATGATTAATTTCGCTTTACACCTCAAAAGATATATTTCATTCTCACTTTGCACCATCAAACTTTACCAATCTCAACTTTCACCCTCAATTTTATGAAGGAGTTGTAATATGGACCTGATCCAGATTGTCGTTCAATTTTTCTTCATAAATTAAAGCACGTTAATTACAAATATTTTGAACATGGGCTTATGTGTAAATTCACATACTATTAGCATCTCATGTGAGCTGCACATGATAGAGTTAGTCTCTATCTCATTAATGAAATCTTATTTTCAATACAAAAAATAGTGTTAAATTAAACGTAGACAAAGATCTACAGCAATGGGTATACGTCATCTTCATGTATGAAGCACTTGTACTTCACTTATTTCAATTTATGACAAAAATTGAACTACAATCTAGATATGTTCTACATTACTAGCAATTCATAACATTTAGGGTATAAATTATAATTTTTTCTTTTCTCCTATTGTCGGTTTCATATTATACACTTCTTAGTTTTTAAATTGTACCTCAATTATAAATTGAGATCCCAAATGACATCCCAAATTAGTAGGAACCATTAGGTTATGGCTTTGTTTAACCCTTTTTATGAGGATCCACTCATCCAATGTCCCTACTAATTTGAGATACAAAGCATTTTTCTTCTCATATTGTACCTCCAATTATGATTCTTGGTTTCATATTAGTCCCCAAATTATTAATTTTTATTTTATATCACCAATTATAATTATTAACTTCAAATTGTCCAAATAGTTAACACTAGAAATACTTATTTTCTACACATTTGAATATTTTTTATCGAGAAAAATGTCCAATATTTGGATGTATGAGAGTGTGAAACTCATTCAAGCAGTTAAGAAAGTAATAATAGAAACATAATGGTTTAAGAAATGACAGTTAATCGAGCCAAATTTTGCGAGTTTGAACTTTAACTTGTCGAGCTCGTTTTTCTAAATAAACCTAAATAATTTTTCAAGCTTGAATTTGTTTAAAATATGAGCTGAACCTTGGCTGAGCATGTGTAATTCGACTATTATATATATAAATGTGCCAAATTTTGTGATCTTGAACTGAGTTTTTTAGAATTATTTTTTTAAATGAGTCTAACAAATTATTTAAGATCAATTTATTTAAAATACGAATCAAACTCGAGTCAAATTTTATCTGAGCTGAAATCAAATAATTCGACTGGATTCAAATTCCAAGCGTAGGTACAAAGTAAGTCTAAACACGTAATGGAATATATATATATATATATATATATGTATATAGACGTGTGTGCGTGTGTGTGTTGCTTTTGTGTTTCTCTTTATGAATGTGCTTGATATATAGTTCTCCGTTACTTGAAAAAAAACACTCATAAATCTATGGCAAGATTGATTGATTGATTGATTTAATTTGAGTAGATCACTAATCAACCAACCAACCAACCATATTTTACTAATCAACCATATTTTACTNGGTTTCTTTCTGAAACTCAGAACGGGAAGAGAAGTATTGGATTCCCTCTACTCTACCTGTGAACAGTGTGTGTGTGTGTGTGTTTGTATGAGAGAGAGAGAGAGAGAGAGAGACAGACCTGGGACCGTAAAAGCGCGTTAGGCTAGAGAGATAGTTGGGGTCCACAACCGAAAATGCATCAACGCGGATAACTGATAGCGCNTTGATTGATTTAATTTGAGTAGATCACTAATCAACCAACCAACCAACCATATTTTACTAATCAACCATATTTTACTAATCAACCGGTTCATAAAGCAATAATATTAAGTCGAGTAGAAAATAGATTCTTTGTTATTTGTGTTAATTTTAAGGAAAATTTCATTTTGTGCCTAAAAGATACAAAAAAAAATTAGTTTATCTCTCAAATGATTATTTTTTTCACATTGTCCTTTAAAGAAATAAAAATATTATAATGTAATTTATATCTTATTTCGGTTTGATCATCCGTCTATTTTGTTATAATTTGAAAAAATTAATCATTCAGAGGATAAATTAAAAAAATGTATATCTTCCGGGGGCAAAATAAAATATAACCTTAATTTGAATTCAAATGTGGAAGTACTTACGATATCAAAAAAAAAAAAATGCAAAACAAATGAAAGTTGTCAGAAAACAAACAACTAGTTCGGTAAAAAGCATACTGGTTATGTGTATTATTTTTTATGCTGGCTGGAATACATTTTTGTTTGGTTTTTTTTTTTTTTGTTATAAAGTGTTTAGACTTGCGCCGACTAATTCCTTAAATTGAGTTAAAACATATCCCTAATTTTCTTCCATATTTAAATTTTCTCACAACTAACTAACTTTTTTCTTATAAAAAACACAAACAAATGGAAAAAAAGTTGTGATCTTTAATTAACTTCCAATGTTACCCTTATTTTTCTTAAAATAATTTATTGGTTATTAATTTTAAAAAATCTTAGTATGAATTGATTAATCATATAATTTAGTTCTAAGAACTTGTTGCTGGTACTTGTCTCAGAATTAGGTTGGTAGCCAATTTTTAAAAAAATTTAAATTTTTAATTATAATAAATATTTTTTACTTCTTTAGATTGATTTAATATACTTAAGGGTAATTTAGACAATTAAAAAAAATTGTAACTTTCATTTCTTTCAAATAATAAATTGAAATTTTTTTAAAACTTTCTCACAATTTTTTCTATACTAACTAAATACATATATGAAAATATATTTTCTTCCATTTTCTTTTCTTTTACTTCACTTTTTATTATTAAATACATACATGAAAATATATTTTATTCCATTTTCTTTTTTTTTACTTCACTTTTCCTCATCCTTTTTTTCCTAATTAAACGGACCTTAAAAGGACAACGGTAGCTAACTCTAAGGGGGTGTAAAAATAGATTGAAAACTGAGACCGCTGAGTTATCAAAAAATCGAAGACAACCACTGAATCACGCCTAAAAATTTAACAAACTTACTCTTGAATCAACTAGGAAAAACTTATTTCATTGAGCATTGGTCCACTTGAAACTACTTAGATTTGTGCCCTTAATTTAATGTTTGACCAACAAGCTTCTGTCTTATTTTTAATCTGGTTCAGACAATAAACAAAAGTGAGTGGGTCTGAAATTAAATATTTTATAGCCTTGTTTTCAATATAAAAAAAAAATAACAAGATCGATCTACCCATGTTCTAAAGCCCTTGGCCCATTGTTTTACTTTTCTAAAATTTTAAACTTTC